CAATTCTCCTCTTTTTGCTGAGAAAGATTGGCCCTGGGCTAACATCCGTGCCCGTCTTCCTCTACTTTATATGTGGGATGCTGCCATAGCATGGCTTGATAAGCGGTGCATAGGTCCACACCCAGGATCTGAACCTGCAAACCCTGGGCTGCGGAAGCGGAGCACGCAAACTTAACCACTATGCCACTGGGCTAGCCTCTATTTTTTATTTTTTTTCCCCCTATCTCAGGTTGGTGAATTACGACCCATGGGTCTATATGACCCACAAGCCAAGATTGGTTTTACATTTTTAAGTGGTTGAAAAAAAATCAAAATAATAATAATATTTTGTAATGTGAAAGTTTTATGAAACTCATATTTCAGTGTCCATAAATAAAGTGTTATTATAACAGTGCTGGGCCCGTTTGTTTACATATTGTACATGGCTACTTTCCAGCTACAACTGCAGAGCGTAGTAGTTGTGATAGAGACTGCGTGGTCCACAAAGCATGAAATATTTGCCACCTGGCTCTTTTACAGAAAAAGTTTACCAACACTTGCTCTATATTATTCACATAAATGCAGGTATTTTTTGCAAATAATTTTTTTAATAACATGCTTTTGTTTGTAAACATAAAATGAGAATAACCTACCCCACTGTTGTGGCTTAGTTGCAGCATCCCTTTGATTTCAGTATTCTCTCTCTTTCTTTGGTTGCTCTGAGACTGAACATTTAATCTTTTACATTCTGATTTTGAAGGGATCTGTATTAGTCTGGGTTTTCCAGAGAAACAGAACTAGTAGGAGATGGACGGACGGAGGGACAGATGGACGGATGGACTGTAAGGTATTGGCTCATGTGGTTGTGGAGGCTGAGAAATCCCAGGATCTGTAGTCGGCAAGCAGGGGACCCAGAAGTGCCAATCGGAGAGAACCAGGAGAGCTGATGCTGTAAGTTTCAGTCTGAAGGCAGGTGAAGACCGATGTCCCAGCTCAAAGATAGTAGACAGAGCAAAGTCTCCTTACTCAGCGTTTTTTTGTTCTATTCAGGCCTCTGACAGTTTGGATGTCCGCTTACATAGAGAAGGGCACACTGCTTTACTCAAAAATGTTAATCTCATCCAGAAACACCATCACAGATGCACCCAGAATAGTGTTTAACCAAATAGCTGGGCACCTGATGGCCCAGTAAGGTTGTCACATATAATTAACCATCACTAGACCTAAATGTACTTTAAATCTATCTGCTGGCACTTAGACCTTTTTTTCTTAGTCCTGGTAAAAAGCCCCAGTTCACACGAATATTAGAATCATCTGAACTTCATTCAGTTGATTCATTTAAAATTGCATTTGGCCAGCACTGACTGAGTTAAAGTTGGATTGAATTGATTGATAGTTCATTTATATTTGTGGAGTATAATTTGTAGTATTTTCTTCTTGTTTAATTAAGTGACTGTTGTTTGTTAATATTAAATACATCAATGAGTGTGTTTGTATGCTTCATTTTCTTGTATCTTTTCTGTCTTGAAGAGGGTTCTAATTCGCAAGCTTAGTCATTTTGACCAACTGTTGTGGTCAAAATGACTGGAGTGGCTAGTTGGCAGCAGAGATTAGCAATTCCCAGAGCAATTTGCGAAAGCCAGATTGACTGGCGTGGAATTTTGTCAACAAGCTTCTTAGAGTATGTCAGTGAGCTGCTGGGGTGAAAGGGAAGTGGGTTTGTTTGTAATATCAGCTTCTTACTTACCCTTCATATGACCTTAGACAAATCCCTTAACCTCATCCACCTATAAGCCGACTTAATACCTGCCCACTCCAACTAGAGGGCTGTTAGGAAGATTACATAAAGTAAGAATGTGTGTGAATTGCTCTGCTGTATGCATTATTACCTAGTTTATGTTAACTGGCAACAGCTTCCCCTCCTGATAAATAATTCTTTTTATAGCTTATTTTGTAGATATAGAATGGTGTTCTTGTAATTCACCTGATGTAGCTCAAGTCCACTTCTCAAGGAAAGAATGAAAGTATCACTTGACCTGTGTTTTTATCTGTTATTCCTGAAGCTGATTGATTCTAGGACGATACCTACTTATTCAGGCCTGATCTTAACAAAACTTAATTAAATTAGACCAAAGTAGATAGTTGGGCTAAAGGAAAGGTTTACATTATAAGACATTCAAAGAAATCCAGTATCTCAATCTGAGATCCTAATTTTAGGCTCTCTTCTTTAGTCTCAGTCACATACTTAGTGTTTATCCAGAATAGTCGACTTTTCATTGCCCAGGGGCGTCCTGGTGGCCCTCCTCGCAGTAGACTCCCCGATGGTTGTGCAGTTTACATATTAACCTGATTTCGTTCAGTCATTTACCTAAACAACGCTGAAGCTTGTTGTTTTGGCCTGTACTACACTTTTCGGGACAAATGTATTTCACAAATGTACTGTCAGAGTTTTTGTTTTTGTTTTTCTGTTTTAATCTATCCTAAAAATGTTCTCCTCCTACCAACAATATTCTAGTTTTGGTAAGTGGCTCTAATTTCTATATCTCTGCCTTTTAATGAATATATTAAAATTATCATTTCTTTCACCTGTTGCCTCTGGATTAAAGAACTCTGAAGTTCTAGCAGATGCGTTTTTATCCTCATACTGTTGTGTTCATTTTCTCTGGACCTGTTGTATCCACATTTGATTGTTGGAGGTTCAGCTTGAGGTTTATACCAGATTCCATTAAGTGTTTCCTTTTTTACCCCCTATGATTATATGTAATGATTTTCTTTGTTTTTAAATGTCCTCCTAAGAAGACAAGTTAGGAAAGAATTGGAATTAGCACATTGTAAACAGATGCTCCTTGATTTGCTTTCAAATATATTCAATACTCTTTTTTTTTTTTTGGTGAGGAATAGTACCCCTGAGCTAACATCCATTGCCAATCCTCCTCTTTTTGCTGAGGAAGATTGGCCCTGGGCTAACATCTGTACATCTTCCTCTACTTTATATGTTGCATGCCTGCCACAGCATGGGTTGATAAGCAGTGTGTAGGTCTGCGCCCAGGATCTGAACCTGCGAACCCCGGGCCACCGAAGCGGAGCACGCACACTTAACGACTACACCACAAGGCTGGCCCCTCAATACTCTTTCTTTATGCTGATTTACACTCTTGCATGATTCATTTGCTTCTTAAGTGAAATAACTAAAAAATGTGTGATGAGATTTTAATTTAGAGATTTTACTGAATGTTCTTCTCTGAGAAATTTTAATGAAAAACATTTGTATTCAGCTAGACAATTGTACTTATATTGTGGTCTTACTAGTGATAAGTTTAGAAGGAGGCTTGTTGGGAGGTACACACGGGTGGTAGGTGTATGAAGCAGTGACTGTAATTGTACATGTGTGGCCTCAGCACGTAATGGAAACAGTGAAATAGAACAGTGAGTGTCTGCCCAACTGCTTATCACACTTTCAAAGAAATTTTCCTAGGCCACACTCAGATGAGAGTGAAGTTATTTTGGAATATTAGCTGGGAGGAAAGGTATGTGTGTGTCATGAATGTAGTGTTCAATTTTGCTAGAAGTCAAAAGATTTATAACCAGTTGGGGTTTTCATTTGAAAAGCCAAGGATTTTTTTCTGTTTTAATGTGATGGCTTGTGGATACTTCAGTATCTCTTGTTTGCTTTTAGTATTTTCCTAGCCTGTGGCTAAGTAGTTTGAATAGATATTTAGTATTGACTGTTCTATTATGTGGAAAGTGTTCAGATAACTAACAAAGAAAAAGAAATCAATAATGCTCAATTCGGTGTTAGTGTAAATGTTGATATTTTCTTCAGTGTAGATTGGACGAAGAAAGGGGTTAGCATAAGAGTGCTGGTCCTTTGGGTGCTCACCACCTCTGCCACCCCCACTTCTTCCTTGATGGATAAGAAAACTGGATGTCTCTCTTCCTTTCACTGTCCTTCAGGGCTGTCCCATTATTTTTATTTGAAGCATTCTTTGATTTATTAGATCAGATATCAAGATTTAAACATCAGTATCAAAATACATCTATAATCAAGAAATATGTATTTTTGACTACTGTAATTCATTAATCAAAATTTTCTGTTGAATTCCTTTCCTGCACAATAGATTGAGTAGCCCATGGAAACTGTTTAGCTAAACTTGGGCATGAATTTCCTATCAAACTCAGTTACTTGCCTTTCCATTTTCTTTTTAAAATTTCACTATCTTGAGTTATTTCTTAGGAGAAAACACACATAACACATACACAGATTTTTCTCCAGCATCTCTTTCTTATTAGAATAATATCAAAGAATAATTTCTTCATTTGATAACATATACTGTCAATAATGATAATTGCTGGAATATTTAAAATTGCAATTCTATACTTCTGAATATATTCTTTTACAAACTTAAACTGAAAATATGAAGAGGAAGAGGGCCCTGGTGTTAAAATAAGAAACCTTTGCTGTAAGTGTTTATCATAGTGACACCTGAATTATGTTGCACTAAAAATGAAGTGGCATCCTGTCTATATTGGAGATGAAGCCTAGAGCAGGAGCTAGCAGACCTAAATCCTAGCCTCATTTTTACAAATAATTTGTTCCCTGACTAGATAAGCAGCTTAACCTCTTTGGACCTCAGCTGCAAACTTTTGATATTTAGTTCCAAACTGTTTTTGGAACTAAATATCAAAAGGTCCCTATAGATGCATAATCACTGAGAATAATAGGCATTATCTTCTAGTCACATGCTTGATAGCAGATTTTCTTTCATTTGTTTGTTCATCTGGGGAGCTGGGGACACAGCAGTGTGAGACACGACCCTCGTCTCGGGAGCTTTTATGGTCCAGTGGAGGGATCCAGGCCCAGTGCTCAGAGTATTCTCATTAAATGTTGATATTGGTTGAATCCTTAGAAATGTCATGATTTTTACTCAGTTACTTTAATATATACACTCCAAATCAAACTCAGTCTAGAGAGGAGTGCTCGTTCTAAATCTAATGATGTTTGGCTTTTCTTTTGATTTTAGGAGCTTATTTAATGAAAAGTGCCAGAGACGGAAAAACCAGACATGAGGGTAGCAGGTAAGATATTTAATTCAGTAGAAATAATTTTGCTTTGTCTGTAACCTGTTTGTTTAGTAATAACTAAAGGAGAGGGTAAATAATCTTTTTCTACATTGAGTGCAAAGCTGAAATATAACAAATCATTACTCAGCCTCTTTTTTAAGTAGTTGGCAAATCACAAATTGAACATTTAGTGAATGTTACATAAGTTTTTCGGGGCACTCTTTAAAATTATTTATGCTAAATATTTAAGTTATGATTTTAATGTTCTTATACATTAAGCTTATTTGCCTAATAGTATATATAAAATGTCCATATAAAGAACAATTGGACAACCTAGAGAGGCTGATTTTTGTTTTTGCTAAGTTCTAGCTTGTTGAGAAAAATGAGTTGTAAAGTTTAAAAGCTTAACTCTTTCCTATGTGTGTACTGAAGTTAAAACTAGTGTATGTGAAGGATTCAATAAAACGTGTTTTTGCATAAGTGACTACGTATTTGCTAGTTCATGTTCAATCTGCGTAAGTGAGGTTATGTGTAAGGACATCTGTTCTTTAGGCAGCATATTGAGGAAATTGAAAAACACCACTTGATGTTCATAGTATTAAGGTAGTTATCATTAAACATTATAGAAAGAGAGATTCATAAATAACTGGAGGGGCTGATGACCTCTTCCTGCCTGTAGTGAAAGTAAGTGTGACCCCTGCCCCTCCTCCAGCACAGCCAAGGCCCAGAGGAAATACACATGTTACATCGGAATTTCTAAGTGTGTGCGCAACATAGGAGATAACTTGTAATTTCTCAAAATCAAGATGGTCTTTCTTTTAGTTATCATCTCACCAGCAAACAAAATATTTTTATGAGAGCATCTCTTAGAAGTGCCTAAAGTCAAGGTGAGTGAACAAATAATTCCTCTTGCTTCAGTCATACTTATATAGAATCAGGTGCAGGTGATTAAACATCGTGATTATTAAAGATAACTGAGGGTTGTTCACAAATGGTTTTGTAGAAATATGAAAATCTGGATCCCTTGGTCATGAACTTACAAAAAACATTCTTCTTCGAGTAGCTGTATAATTATTAAAGAAAAATAGTCCCAGAAACCAAGAGCTTGTTTGTGGTTTCAAAAAACATATCATAATGTCTTTTTTTTTTTTGAAAAAAGTCTTTGAATACAGCAGCATCGACATGATTATATGTCTCCAGATGATTTTGAAAGTACATTATTTAATTAAACGTGGTGATTTGAAATAATCAAAACAAGTTTCTCGTTCTCACATAATTCTACGTTCATTCTAGTTGAAACTAACTTTGTCATCAAGTCCATTTCTCTGATTCTGACAATACCAAGATTAATTGATGAGTAATTATTCACCGAGTGCTTATTTTATTTTTGGCACTGTTCCTAGTATAGGTCTCGAGGGGACTGCCTTTAATGAATGAATAAGGAAGATTAGCTATTAGCTTTTTGCTTTTAGACTAATTAATCTCTTTAAAAAAATTACCTGGTTGCTTTGAAATATCCTTATAGCCATTATTCCTACAGTGAGGCATCAACGTCTAAAGTTTGTGCTTTGGGGTTTGTGAAGAATAGGCACACACTCAGATTAGTGTAGTCCATGGCTGGAAGGAAGAGGGAATCGCATGGAAAATGGGAAGAATGGGACTTGTGGTGTGGTATGGGTAGGCCCCTCCAAATCCAGGGTTGGATGGTGGCCAGCTCTGGAGGAGACCGTTTGTAACAGAAGCTCCAGAACTCTATATTACGTAAGCTCTGCTAGTCTTCACCTGCCTACTCCTCTCAGGGACCATCTGCTTGTTCTGTTACCAGTTTCTTCCCTCGCTTCTCTCTCCTGTAGAGCTTTTGTTTCTCCCTAGCTCCTCTGATGGCCTGGTATAAGTGAATTCAGGTCTTGGTTTAAGATTTGGTTCTATCACTGATTGGTTATGCCTGTCACTTTGGCAAGTGATCTAAATTCTTAGCCTTGTTTTCTTTATTTGTAAAATGAAAATAATATCTTTTTTTTTTGCTCAAGACCCACATGCCTATCGTAACAACCCAGGGTATCTCTCTGAGAAATTACCAAGTTGGACTCTGTTCCCTCCCAGCTCTGACACTCTGAACATCTGGTCTGCTGTGGCTGTTGTGTGAGTGTTAGACGATCTGTGTGTTGGGAAAATGGGCTTCAAAACCAAGAAAGTGAATGTAGCTCTTTGAGTGCTGATGGAAGGCTGAGAAGAGGATACCCTGCTTCTGCTTATTGGCATCTGAGGAGTTCCCCTTTTCCGTGAGAATCTGCTAACCTTCTGCTTTTCCAGTGGATACATCTGCAGCTTTAATGTCACATTCCTGAGAATTTGCTTGGTTCATTAAAAAAAATGGTTTACTGTGATGGGGATGTTTGCTGCTTGGCTTCCCCACGACAGACACCCGAGTGTGTGCTGTCCTGCGGTCAACTGAGAAGGGAGCCCGCTCCTCTCATCGTCACCACCTGTCAAAACCCCGTCTTCCTGCCCCAGATGAATTGTGCTGTAATTGAGACACTGACATTCCAACCAGTGCATTCACCTTCAGAGCCTTGATTTAGCTATACCCATGCGGATACGACAAATGGCTGATGTGTGATTTTTAGCAGAATATATGCCCCCAGAATCCAGTATATTTGTTAACCTCATACAGTTTAATGGAAGGCAGTGTGAATTTCCTTGAAACCTAATATACCATAACTTAGTCTGTGTTTTATAGCTAAACTCTGGAAATGAACTAATGTCACTTCAGAGCTACAGACTTGTGAATATCATCAGCATTAAGCTGTTAGAGATCAAACAGTCTGCTCTTTGGGGGCAGGGCAGGGGTTATCCTGAGCTTCTTGTTAGAGCTTGTTGAGTATTGTCAGTCCTTAAGTGTATGAAGGAGCACATGACAGTTGAGATGGGTGAGGCTACTATCCTGGCACACCCTTTGCAGGTCCTCCCTCAGAGAGGATTGTCATCTTTCTTTTATTAATTCAATTTATTTAAACTAAAAAAACCACAAAAACAAAAGCAGTTCACCCATTTCTCTCAACTTCCCAACCCCCACCTCTGGCAACCAGCAATCTGTTCTCTGTATCTATGAGCTTAGTTTTTTTTTTTAACCTCATTTTTTAGAGTCCACATATAAGAAGGATCGTACAATATTTGTCTTTCTCTGTCTGACTTATTTCACTTAGCATAATACCCTTAAGGTCCATCCATGTTGTTGCAAATGGCAAGATTTCATTCTTTTTATGGCTAATATTCCATTATATATATATACACACCACAATTTCTATATCATTCATCCATTGATGGACACTTAGGTTAGGTTTCTATATCTTGGCTATTGTAAAAAATGCTGCAATAAACGTGGGATATATCCCATGGACGTGGCATATATCTTTTTGAATTAGTTTTTTTGTTTTCTTTGGATAAATACCCAGAAGTGGAAATCCTGGGTCATATGGTAGTTCTATTTTTAATTTTTTGAGGAACCTCCATACTGTTTTCCATAGTGGCTGTGCCAATTTACATTCCCATTAACAGTGCACAAGAGTTCCCTTTTCTCCACATCCTTGCCAACACTTGTTATTTCTAGTCTTTTTGATAATAGTCATTCTAACAGGTATGAGGTGGTATCTCATTGTGGTTTTGATTTGCCTTTCCCTGATGATTAACAATGTAGAGCATCTTTTCATGTGCCTGTTGGCCATCTGTATGTCTTCTTTAGAAAAATGTCTGTTCAGATCTTCTGCCCATTTTAACTCAGATTGGTTTTTTTTTGCTGTTGAGTTGTAGGAGTCCTTTATATATTTTGAATATTAGCTGCTTATCAGATATGTGATTTGCAAATATTTTCTGTCATTCAGTAGATAGCCTGAATATATATAGTTATTAATATAATATCTTGAAAAGCTGTGCAAGTGAGATTATGCTTATAAAGCATTTAGCTCTATAGTAGGCACTAAGTAAATCATGTATGTCTGTGTATATTATATATGTGTGTATGTATGTATGTGTATATATTTATGTATATGTGATATATATGCATAAAGCTTATTTAGTGTAAGTTCAGGTTTAGCTTTGTATTGAATTCAGTCTAGAACTTTCACATGAACTTCATATTTTGATCATTTTACTATTTCAGTCTTGAACAATGAAGATTTCATCTATCTGCTTTAAGGGACAGGGAAGGGTTATCTATAGTTGCACCTGCCCATAATTGCTAGAAAATAAGATGTTAAGACTGTCATGTGATGTATAATCTTTAAGCCCTTGTCTTAAGTAAGCAAGAAGGAATATGCCACCTGTTACCATTCGTCTATTTAGCAAACACTTGTTGAGGGTATTACTATGCATGACGCACTCTGCTAGATCCTAGCAGGGGGATGAGTTCAAAGCCTCATGAATTTTGCTCACTTATGCACTAAAAATCTAGGCAACTTGTAGTTGCTCTTAAAAACAGGAAGCGCAGTTTTTGGAGGGGAGAAGAGAAGAAACCGAGGAGGGGTAGGGTTGGTTAACCTCGTGGTTAGGCTTCCTCATTGCCACTTCATTTCTGTATTTATGTAGTGTTCTAAATAGAAATGAGTAGCTCTGAGAAATGACTGCTTCTCAGTGTCATCAGCCTTTCCGAGCATCATCAGTTCATTCACTTCCCTCCTCTAAGAATGCAGTCCTAATCTCTTTAGGTTTATGAAATTAGAATGAACATAGTGCTTTCCTAATCTTCCTTACACAGTAAGTTGGGTTTGGGTAGATTTTCAGGAGACTGTAGTAATTGGGAGTTAGAACAGAGTACTGTGCAAAGCACAGGCTCTGTCAGGATCCCTGGATCCCAGTCCTTGTGCTGTGCTAATTTATCTGTAATCCTGGGTGGTTGCCCCACCTCTGGGCCTTTGATTCCTTAAGGATGGCGAGATGACTGCTGATCCTTTTAGATCAATATAAATTAAACTTTTGGTAAGAGAGGGGAATGGAGATTGTACAGACAGTGTTAATATTGTTCCTGAATAACCAATGAGATGGCTCTGAAATCCTAAGGGTAAAAGGAAGACATTTCTTTCCTGTCATTTTCCATTTCCTTTCCTATCTTGCAGTTTTTCCTTTTCTTTCCTAGATTTGCTTAGCTATGGAGAAATAGGACAAATGATGTTTCATATTAAGCAGTTAATTACTTAAAGTTACCAGTGTTAACTATTTGTAAGGCACTCAGAAATGGTTAAAGATATAAAGGTATGAAAGACTAAGAGTTTGTCTTCACAGAGCTTACCGTGTAGTCACATTATAAAGCACAATGTGATAGGTACCAGATTAAGACCTCCAGGAGTTGAGAAGACCTGTCTTAAACTAAGTATTAAGTATGAGGAGGAGCACTTTGTTGTTCACCATACCAGGAGTATTTGTGTAGCTCCAAGAAAGATGTTGGTTGGTGATAGGACAGTAAACCTGCTACATTTCCCTGGAGAACTCCCAACTTAGTGAACATCCTGCTCTGTTGCCTTAGTATCTCCAGAAGGTCCAGTGTTTTTGTATCATCCCTGTATAGTATTGCCCTTTATATTTGAAAAGGATTAGGAATGCATCATCCAACATACTTGGTTGTGATGTTCCATTAGCCATGATACTTTAGTATAGTTGGCCAGCAATTGATGGCAAGTCATTCTATTTTTTTTTGGTGAGGAAGATCAGCCCTGAGCTAACATCCATGCTAATCCTCCTCTTTTTTTGCTGAGGAAGACCAGCTCTGTGCTAACATCTATTGCCAATCCTCCTCCTTTTTTTTCCCCCAAAGCCCCAGTAGATAGTTGTATGTCATAGTTGCACATCCTTCTAGTTGCTGTATGTGGGACGCGGCCTCAGCATGGCCGGAGAAGTGGTGCATCAGTGCGCGCCCGGGATCCGAACCCAGGCTGCCAGTAGCAGAGCGCGCGCACTTAACCGTTAAGCCACGGGGCCAGCCCTGGCAAGTCATTCTTTTGCATGTACAATAGGCAGATGGCTCAAGCAATTCCTTGTCTAGATTGCTAAGCAATCTGATAATTCTTTGATCAGGAAAATCCCTTATCTTGATGGATTGTTGGTACCGTTTTTGTTTTAACTTACGTATAATTAAGATCCAATAGCTGAAAAGTAGAAATTTATTAGTCTTAAAACATTTTTTTTATAAACTTAATTTTTTTCAGTGAAATGCTATATAATACAAGTTCTGTGGACACATAGGCTCATGCTGAATTATTTCTGCCCTTTATCTAGGTGCTGCAAAGTTGGTGGTAGCCGTGGCAGTATTTTTACTGACATTTTATGTTATTTCTCAAGTATTTGAAATAAAAATGGATGCAAGTTTAGGAAATCTATTTGGTAAGTTTCATTTTTTTTCCTTTCTTAAATCTTATTTTTGATGTGATTGTCTTTTAAATTTTTACTGGCAATCAACATTGAGTCACTCTGCCATTTGGTCTGTCTAGAAAAGAAAATGTAATTATATCAGTAAGTGTGATTCATTAGAACGTTCTAAAATACACAATAGAAAGTCTTGAAATTAATTCAATATAAAGCATGAATCTTCTCTTCAACATTTTGAATATATTTAATGGGATCTATTTTATACATGCTTAAGAACATTAATCATGATATTCCAATTGCACATTCTAGAAGATATCACACCCTATTTGAGTTGGCTTCTAGAAAACTTGGAACCAAATCTAGCCCTCAATTAGCAAGCAGTTGGGAGTCATGATAATGCATTTTAAATATCAGCCATAGAAACCCATCTTGCTTTCCTACCCTTATTTTCCTCCTGCAATATTTTTCTTTTTACAAGTTTATTTAATGCTATGTTGTAAACATACCATTGTAAGCTACCTTAACTCAGTTTTTAACAAAATCTTTAAGTTAATAAAATAAGTTAACGTTTGAAATGTTTGAATAAGCTTTGGCTGAAGCGTCGTTTAAGGTATTAAAATATTACACACGAAAGGTGAGACTGTGAAACCTAGAAACAGTATTTTGATGTAGTAGGCAGAAATTGGATGAAACAACTTTCAGATCTCTAGAATAGTGAGTTTTACTTTCCATAAATTAATATTTGGAAGGGATCCTCCAAACCTAATTCACTCCCTCTCACATCTAGTTTCAAAACTCTCTTAAACCAGTGCTTCTCAAACTTTAATGTCAAAGGATCTCCAGGGAATCTTGGTAAATGCAGATTTTGATTCAGTGTCTGGATGGGGCCTGAGACTCTGCGTTTCTAACAAGCTCCCAGGTGATGTTGAGGTTCCTATCCATGGACCACTTACTGAGTATCAAGGCTTTAGACGATTCTGACATGTCATCGATTTCTGTTTAAACATTTTCAAGTCACTTTTCTTACAATGTCTACTTAAAAGTACTTCCTTGTATTGCACTGAATTCTGCCTTTTATACTCGCAAGTAATTTCAATCCACTGATCTTGCTTCTACCTGCTGGAGCTCTCTTCAACATTAATGATCCCTCAAATAGTTCAATTGTAGTCATACTCCTTTAGGCCATCTTTTTACAAATTTTCATCTTTTTAAGTTGTGGAATTCCCCTTTCAACCTTTCCTCTTAACGTACTGGTTATTGTCCTCCTGAACTGCCTGTTTTTCAACACCCATCTTAAAATAAAGTATCCAGGATCCAGCAAAGAGTAGTTATTGCAAAGTATAGTGAGACTTGACTTTACTTCTTCTAGTCTGTATACTTCTGTTACTAGAAAGAGGCCAGCCTGGTGGCCTTTGAGAGAGCAGCTGATTTCAGTTGAATGATGGGGCAGCCACCACATTGAAGGCATTGAGGACTTGTTCAGGTTTGCTGTGGAAACCATGTGTATAATCAGTTCTTCTAAGAAAGGTTGATGGTAAGGGAAGAAGAGTATGGATGGTAGCTTGAGGCAGAAGCAAGCTGAACATTTTTTTCTTTTTTGAAGTAACGGAGAGGCTTTCACTTGTCTATAGGCCTTGGGCAAAGATTCAGTGAATGACAAATCAATGGGAAGAGATTGAACAGACATGAAAAGATGGATCCTTGAGGGAAGGCAGGCTATAGGACCATTGATACAAATGACAAATTACTCCAGGAGAAGACCCACTGTTTTCAGAAAGACGAATGAAGGGTGAAGCCACAGTGTCTGGCCTAGTTTGCATCTTCATCTGTAGGCCAGACTGTTTCTATAAACATCACGGGGATGTTACTACGTCTATTTCTCATCTTTGATATCTGCCTATCTCACCACTGCCAAAGCGATTTTCTTAAAACTCATGAACCTGTAGTACTTTGGATTACTGGAGAGTAAAATCTAAACTCCCTACTTAGGCTGGCACTCAGACCCCTCAACCTGCCTCTGCATTTCATGCCTGTTCGCCACCCTCCCTACCCGTGCCTCACACTCGCTGGGCTGATCTGCACATGATCCTCCCTCACAGACCCTGTCCTCCCATTCCTCGGCCTTTGCTCCTGCTGATTCCTCACCCTGCACATCTTCCTCGTCTCCCCTTCATCTGTTAATCCTTCTCATTTTTCACAACTGCATAAATGCCCCTTCTTGAGAGAAATTGTATCTGAACCTCCCTCTTTCCCTAAGAGTGCATTGCACCTTTTTCCGAACTGTTTGTTCTAATGCATAGTATTTATGTCTCAATTTGGCACTGGTTTTGTTACATACTTACATTATAGAATTTCTTTTATTCTTTTTCATGTATGCATCTCCCCTTACTGGAGGGCAGTAATATCTTGCTTCACCCAGCATCTAGCTCTGGGCCCTGTAGATAGAATTGCTGATTGAATGGAAAATGAATCTAGGTAATTGAGGATCAGGATTTTTATGTGGGGAGGAAGAGTATTTCCAAAGTGTGATTCATTTAAAGCTGTGTTAGTTGAAAAGCCATTGGTCATCATCTATGAGCAAATGCTGGGCTGCTTTAACTAGGATGGTTGTCTTGCCTAATTTTCATTTGATTTTTCTAATCTTAAGAACCTGCAAGGTTTTAGTGTGTGTGTTTTAGCTGTTTGATTTAGGCATTCTTAGGGCAGGTGGCTTATTTTGTTGTCACAACTGAAGTAATAGTACATGTATCCACAAAACCTTATTGGATTCCAATCTATTGAATTGGTAAAAATTTTAATTATTATTTCAGAATAATTGAGTAAAGATGAATATGTGGTTGTCCTTTACCATTTGTTTAACATCTAACTTGATTTACCAAAGGGTAACAAGCTTCACTCGACATTAGGATTGTTTCTATAATCAGTATCTTAGGGGGATCCATGAGATTTAATTATAGTTCTTTTGGTGGTGTTTTCCATTTTTTCAACTTGTTGCTATATAAATTACTTGATAGTTTCTGTAAATTTAATTCATGTTGATTGTGTAGTTCTGTTGTAGAAAAGAAGTGAACTTATTTCTAGAAAATAAGAATGAAAAATTTTGCTCACAATTAGTAGTTGAAATTACCGAAATAAATTGTGATTTTTTTAAAACAATTTTTTACCAGAACTTTTTATTTTGAGATAACTGTAGATTCACATGGATTTGTAAGAAATAATACAGAGAGATCTTCCGTGCCCTTTACTCAGTTTCTCGTATTGGTAACATCTTACAAAACTATATATAGTGTCACAACTAGGCTATCTACCTGGATACAATCCACCAGTCTTAGTCATAATTGTGACTTAATGTAGTGTTAGTTTTCAGCATGGATACTTAACAACCACTAAATGTACTGAACACAGTCCAGATTATTTTTGCATATATTGCTGTAGTAAGTACTTAATGTTCTATTGAGTTGATTTATTTTTACCCTTTCAAATTTAAACTATTGATAAATAGTATAGACATAAATAACTTGACACATTATCAAGAACTATTTTATACTTTTTAAGTACAAAAACATTTTTGTGTACTTTGATTTCTTTATCCTGACTTATTGAAAGACGTTCATTGATGAAACCAAATCAGAAATGTTTATTATTGTTACTTGAAGTGAAAAGCTGTATATTGAAAGAAATTAAGAATTAAACCTCTTAAGGTAATTTGAGGAATAAAAGTTGCACAAAGGAGGGATTTTTGGTTTGTATGCTGTGCCCATACTCTAACTTGGACAACATCCTGTTTTATTTATGGAAATTTACCTGTTTGGCCTCCAGGTGTTAAAATTCTCAGAATTGCAGGCCTAGTAGAGGGCTTTTGGTTTTGATGAATATTGGATAAAAATTAGTTTTCATCTGGAAAGAAAAGTCTTTCACAAGAGTTTCTTTACCTTTAAGCATCTTCTCCCCTTACTCTTACACAAATTAAATGGAGTTGATGTTATTTGCTTGAAAGCCTGATGATTAAGAAAATGGTTTTCCCAAAAGCATATCCCACTAAAGTTTTCTGAATTGAGTAGCATTTATTTATTTTTTTATATCTCTTAAGTTTTACAAGCAAACTCCTTTGACCGTTTTAGAGGCTCATCCCTGGTTTTCCTTTGCTTCTCTTTCCTCAGCGACACTCTTTCTCTGAGCATTATTTGATTATTGATGTCTTTAAGATTCTCTTCTCAGCCCTCTTCTTACTTTAAATCCTCTCTTTGGGTTGCCTCATCGTTTGCTAATTTTCCAGTTTACATCTTTATCCCAGATCTCATTTACAGTTGGCCTCTAGACTTTTGCACTTGGATCTTCTCCAAGTATCTTAAAATTAACAGATCCAATGCAGAACTCATCATCCATCCCCCACCCCCATCTTCATCTCCTCACTAGATTATAAACATCTTGAGAGCAGAGATGGTGTTTTTGTTCATTGGCTCATGTGAATGAAAGAATGATCGCTCCTAAAGCCAAATGTCTGAGAGAAACTTGATTCCTCCCTTTCCATCACCTCTCCATCTGATCCATTCCCAAGTCTCCTCAGTGATGCTTCCTTAATTGTTCTGAACCTGTCTACTTCTTTCAAACCCACAGTCACTTCCTTTGTTCTGGCTGTTGCCCTTTTTTACCTGGATTACTTCAGCAGTGTCCTTGCCCTCGTGGACACTGGAGTCTTGAACCCTCTGCAGACTGTTCTGCGCTCTGCTGTCAGAGGGGTTGTTCTAAAAGCTCCCTATCCTGGCTCCCGGCTCCCAGCAGGACTAGCGGTTTTTGTCCAGATGATCATAAGACCTCAGGCATTCCCATTTTGGGGGGGTGGTACAATATGAGTTTGGGTGCTAAAATGAGCTATGGCTTTGAAAACTAGCTCTGCCAATTACTAATTATGGCTTAGAACAAATCAAATCAGTAAACCTCTCTGTCCCCAGTTTCTTTCTCTTTAAGAGAGGGGTGATGATCAAATCAATAATACATGTAAAAGTACTTGGCAGAGTGTCCAGCATATGCGAATGAGCTGTGTTATATTACCCCCATTCTGATCCCACTGTCCTCCCCGTCTCCTGTTGCCATCAGTTAGGTATACCAGAATTCCTGATTTGAACAATGTTCCTCTGTAAGCATCTTCACACTTGAGCCTGATAATACGTGTTTCTTCAGGACAAAGTGAAATTGAGAATTTCTAGTCTTCATGCTGCTAATCACTGATTGCTGATCACTGTCTGGGCTTTCGTTTTCTCATTTACAAAACTTGAGAGCATTCCAGATGATCTCTAGAATTATTTCCCTTAGTTTTATGGCATAATTAAGGAAAAATGACATAATTAAGGAAAGAACGAGTGCCAGTAATTCCAGCACCCTAATTTACTAACCAGTCATTTCTTTGTTTCCTTCAAGTCTTTGCCCTTATCCATGAATATTCTTAGTACTTACAGATCAAGTTTGTTTTCTGCTTTATTCCATGCATTAAACTTTTTCCATGTTACTACATTGCCTCTATGACTTCAATGGTGCATAATATTTTGAGTGTTCCATAGAGTTAATGAGCCTTCATTTACTTGATTATTTTCCTCTTTTTAAACATTTACATATTATTTTCCAGCTTTAACTTTCTATTCTCCAATATGAGTACTGGACTTACGGGAAATTCCCAATTATCTAAAATAGTACAGAACTAAACATTGGCTATTTTTAGTCAAACAGCTGGCAAACGTTTATGACACTGCATGCTTATCAGCCAAATCAGGAAATGGCTGTCCGCAATACTATTGATGACCTGAATTGTAATCTCCTGGACTAGGATCAGATGTTAGGGTTTAAAAAGCTCTAAGTGTAGATGGCCAGGTTGAGATCTACTACATTCAAGTTAAATTGGATCAGAAGATTCTGGCTTCTTTGAACTGATAAATTCTGAAACTCTTAGTAGTGACCTTAATGTTTTTGTTACACCCAATACGTTTCTATTTTAGAGAAATTAAAGCTTCCCACCACCACCATCCCTCTCGCACCCACTCTCCCCATCTCCTAGCCTACCCACTAAGATAGGTTTATGTATATTCTCCAGGGCTTTCTATGCGTATGTACACAACACCGTACAGCAGCAACAAGTTTTAAACACTCTATTATTCACCAAGTATATATTTAAAGTCCTTTAAAGGTAAGTTTGTAGGGTAACTTTCTGATTGGGATTTAAATTTATAGCTAAAAATAAAAACAAAATGTAAAGGTAAAAACAAAATATTCTCTGAATAATAAAATACCACTTTCCTTAACTCCCCTACGTAGTTGTTTATAGTGAGTTATGTAGCCTAAAGTTACTTTCTCACTTGTTTTGTTTTATTTATTGTATACTGAGCAATAGTTCAAAGGCTTTTATTTTTATAGGCCTATTAGCTCTAAATATGTTTAAGTGGATACTTGTCAATAGTCTGTTCCTTCTAACAAAGAAAACTTTGTTTTTTCTTAGCAAGGTCAGCGTTGGACATAGCTGCACGTTGTGAGTATTTTGTCTCAATATTTTGCAGATGGTTTTTTCTGTTTTATCTTAGGCATATGAGAACTTATATTTGAGCACTGGAGATAGTTTAATGTGAACAAAAACTGTTTTAGAAATTGCTGTGTAAAGTTATAAGGATGTTATTTGATTGGACAGACCAGTATTCTTGGTATTTATTCATGATGGATACTTTGTTTCATTAGTGTTTTTCAGCTTTAGTATTCTAAGTACAGAAAGTGTGTGAAAGGAGAATTCCTTGTTAGGACCAGTACATGAGCAGATATTCAGTGGCGTATTACACTTTTTACTGGTCCTGGAGGTAACCGTTGGTGTGCATATGTGGACTGGAAATGCAAAGTAGCAATTCAAAACCTACCCCCATCCTGAATTTTAAAAATAAACTAAAAAAATAATTAGAGAAAATATATTTACCCTCATCAAGATCATATTACTCGATCCATTTATGTCAAATATTAATGTGTTTCCTGCTAGGTTCTATTTTTTGGTTTTTGTTTTGTTTTGAGGTTCTTTGAAAGCTTCAGAAAAAAAAAATCCTAGCATGTATTTTAAGATATGTGCATCTTGGTGTTTTTTGTAATGCACTTTGTGGTTTGAGATATGAAACAAAGTGATTATAGAGAGTATTAACATTGTTTTTTAAAAATATATATATATTTTCTCCCCCAAAGCTACAAAACCTCCCAGATATAAATGTGGGATCTCAAAACCTTGCCCTGAGAAGCATTTTGCCTTTAAAATGGCCAGTGGAGCAGCCAATGTGGTGGGACCCAAAATCTGTCTGGAAGACAATGTGTAAGTGTTTCTGGATTTGGAAGGATAAGGTGTACATTAAATTACAGCAAATGGAACCTGAGTTTAATGGCTCTTTTGAAAATGTATTGGGCATGCTTTTACTAAAGAAAAGTGATTTTAATTTTCATTATATAATTTTTCCCTACGCATTTGAGTCTTAAAGTTCTTGAATTTCATATTAAAGAGCAACACGAGAACACAGCACTTTTCTAGCTTTGTGTAGAGATGAGGAATTTCCTCTTGAGTTCTGTAGATCTGTGCTGTCCCATATGGTAGCCATAGAAACATTTGGCTATTTAATTTTGATTCTTAATAGGAGAAGAGTTAATTAATTTAAATTAATTAAAAGTTCAGTTCCTCAGTCACACTAGCCACATTTCAAGTGCTCGGTAGCCACGGATGGCTTGTGCCTCCCAAATGAACAGCACAGATAGAAAGCATTTCCATCTTTGCAAAAAGTCCTGTTTGACAGCATTGCCTTAGGTAATGAACACTATCTTACAAACCAGCATCTTTCATTTTAAATGTTTGAATGCTGCTTGTTGAAGTGTGAAATAATCCAATAGTAACCTCAAGTCCCTTGTGGCACAGAACTGCTTGCCACTAAGCTGAATGGTTTCCTATGTTGAGACGCTCTGTAAAGTATGGTTTTTAGGTTTTACAATCTCCTACCTCAGTGTTGACAGTCACTTGTAACTTGAAGTTCCTGCCTCTGAAGTCGAAAACTCTATTTTTATTTGGTTGCTTTCAATCTGCCTCTTACCTAGAAAATAAGATATATGAGCTTATTTAAACGTCATATAAAGTAATAAATATGCCATTAATTATGTAGAATAAAGAGTGAGGTAATTTTACTGATAAGAGGAGAATCTAGGCAGTTTCTCCCTGCATTTTGTGTGTATTTTCTTTTTAATATAGAAGCTCTTAAATTTTTATCCTCGACCCCCTTTCAATTAGCTATGGGCATATTATTTAGCCTCTTAGAATAATACTTATAAAATAAAAGCCTTGAGCTAGGTGATCTTTAAGGTCCCTACTGATTTCCTTTCTTTTCCATCATGTGAATGATAATCCATTGTTAATTGTTGTCTTCTGATTTCTCAAAATGGTCCTGTTTTACTGAATTATGTAATAAAGCACTTAGATTTTAGAAGTTTGTGGATTTTATGTTAAATGGTACCCTTCCCATTATCTTAGAACGTTCCCTTTCCCCTTTTTCACCTTGTTTGGCTGAAGAGGCCCCAAGTTTGACTCTAAGTAATGGGACGAAAGTTCTCTTAGAATGCCCAGCCTGTGGTAGATTGTCTTTGGAGACCTCCTCTGCCTTCTTGAAGCATGTACATTTTAATGCAAAGAAGAAGAAACCAAACTCTTTACTAGCAGGTTTTCTATTCACAAATGATATAGGTCAAAAAGAAAAGAGAAGAGGACGTAGGCAGTGAAGTCTGGTAAAAAAGTACTGGGCTCGGAGACAGAGAATTTTGTTCTTGGGTGGGGGGAATGTCATATAGAATTTGTGTTTCATTCTCTTTGACTATAAAATTGAGGCAGGCCGCCCATCCATCCTCATTTCAGGAATCATCCTGCCATTCCCATGAGAGATTAAATAATTGATGGGGTTTTATAGCTAGGTCTCAGGTCATGAAATCTAGCCCCCAAAGTAGGGCTGAATGTTTGGCCAGGGATCTCCAGTGGAGAAACTGTAGGGACCAATTCACAGTCTAGCATTTTTTCCAGTGTGTTCTATTTCTATATTGAAAGGTTTTCCAACAAAAAGTTTAAAGAAAGTGTCTGAAATTTCTTAGCATCATTCATTTACTTATTCAACAAGTATTTATTAAGCATAGTTCCTGCTGTCATGGAACTTACAGTCTAATAAGGGAGACAGATCTTGAAGAAGTACATGCAAATAAATAATTGCTAATTATGGCACAGGCTGTGCAGAGCCACAGGATGTGACGAACACTGATGGGGTGAGTGAGACGAGGTTGAGGTGTCCCACTTTATAGATCAAGTGGGTCAAGGAATAGTTTCTCAAAGACAATGAGGTTTAGTCTGAAAATTAAAGGATAAGGAAGACAGCAGTTGAAGGTGGGGGAAGAAGATTCTAGACAGAAGGAAGAACCTGCTCGAAGGCCCTAAAAGGGAAAAGAGCTGGAGAGAAGTGAATAAGGGCCAGACTGGTAGGAACTTATAGGCCATGTAAGTAAAGAGATGATATCTTTTCCTGAGTGTGTTGAGAAGTTGTTGAAGGTTTCCAGACTCTGGCATGATTTCATTTATATTGAGAAAAATTATCTGGCTGCTGTGTAAAAATGATTAGAGAAGTAAAGAGAGAGAAATGGGATCTGTTACCCTGTTGGTAACAGACTTTTTTTAGATGTGCACTCACTAAAATATTATAAGTAGATGCTAAAAATACATAAGTAGAAATTTTAGTATTTTCCTGCACATGCTCTGAGTACATGCAAATTCATTTGCATGAATCACTGCTTCACTGCTTCTCAGTGGGGGCCATTTTGTTCCCCAGGGGACATTCATCAAGGTCTGGAGACATTTTAGAATGTCACAGCTGTGGAGGTGCTACTTGTAGAGGCCAAGGATGCTCTTAAACATCCTACAGTGCACAGGACAGCCCTTCCATACGAATTATCAGGTCTGTGATATCATCATAGACTGAATTTGAGAAACTCCAATACAGGCAAAAGATGATAGTTAAGATTAGAGGTGTGATCATGGTTTTAAGGACAAGTAGATGCAGTCAAGATATATTATGGAGATTAAGATGGATTTCAAACTTCTCATTAGTTAGAAATAGAAAATCCTGGATGTAAACATCAGGTGTTGCACAATACAGGAATTGTAGCTTCTTTTTCTTTTGTTATTAGAGAACCCATAGAGTTTAATATGTTCAGGACATAGCTTTTATTTCAGGCATATACTTATTTAATTTCAGTTTATATGAAATTGTTATTAGGAATAATACTTCATCTTTTATTATAATCTTAATATTTGGTACAGGAATATGCTTACAGCAGAGTATCTTGAGGGATTTTTTTCTCCCCTACATTGAGGGGCCTGATAGTATTTTTGGCTCTGAGGGCCAAGAGGTAAAATCAAGAATATGTTATAGGGGCCGGCCCCGTGGCGTAGCTGCTAAGTGCGTGTGCTCCGCTGCTGGCGACCTGGCTTCGGATCCCGGGTGTGCACCGATGGACTGCTTGTCAGGCCATGCTGTGGCAGCGTCCCACATCAAGTGGAGGAAGATCTGCATGGATGTTAGCTCAGGGCCAGTCTTCCTCAGCAAAAAGAGGAATATTGGCATGGATGTTGTCTCAGGGCTGATCTTCCTCACACACACACACAAAAAAGAATATGATATAGGTACTTATATAATCATGTAAAATGTAAAAATCATTCTAAGCTTATGCATAGTAAAAACAGAAAAACAGCCAGCTGGCTAAATTTGGTCCATAACAAACAGCCAGCTGTAGTTTGTTAAACCCTGCTCTAAACTAATCACTTTAAGACTTAGTAGCTAGAACATATACTAAGTATTTGAAACAAAACTATATTCAAAGATCTAGAATCTGTCTGTAGATTATATAATCATTTTCTTTAGATTTTTGCCTGGAGGTGTGGAGTGGTGATGGGGGAACCTTCATGTTCATGAAGGATAAAAGAAAATATTTCAACTCGTGTTAATAAGAGTGACTAACCTTTATACATTTAAAATCTTCGGTGGACTGTCATTTGCTAATTATAGGTTTCCCAGTTGGAGTCTAGTTTTTAAAAATTGGTCAGCTACTGCCCTCTTGTGGGAAGCCCATGTCATCTTGCTTCTTTGTTGCCTCTATGTCTTGGCTGTATGATGGACACAACAGCACACTCTGAGATGATCTCTACTTGGAGAAGACACTGTGACACTTAATGGTTAATCTAACAGGTTAACCATAGCTGTTGCCTCTTAATATTAATGATGGGGTTCACTTACCTAATATATTTCTGAAGGGAGCAGACAAATGCATTTTGAAACTTCCCTTCTCTTTTTGCAGCAGATTTGTTTGGTCCTCCGATGGCCCACCTTTCAGAACTAGTCTTGGACACACATTAAAGAAAGCCTATGCTTTATTACATGTAAACTTTAGAGAATGACCAGTGAAATTTTGAAGGCAGCTATGCAACCAGTATGGGTAGATGAATAGTCAAATGCTACTAAGCTTTTAACGATAAAATTTTTATGCTTTTCCTTTTTTAATGGACTTTGGAGTATTTTTTTAACTTTTCATTTTGAAATAATTGCAGAAATCACAGGCAGTTGCAAAGATAGTACAGAGAGGTCCTGTGTACTCTTCACCCAGTTTTCCCCATGGTTATATCTTATGTAATTATAGTGTAATATCAAAACCAGGAAATTGGCATTGGTGCAATGTGTGTGTATAGTTCTTTGTCATTTTATGACATGTGTAGATCCATGTAAGCAATATAACAAGATACATAATCATTCCATCTCCACAAAAATCTCTTTCTTGCTATCTTGTTATAGTCACCCACACCATCACTGACGCTGACAACCACTAATCTGTTTATCATTTCTATCATTTTGATGTTTTGAGAATGGTATACAAATAGAATCATATCGTATGTGACCATTTGAGATTGGGTTTTTTCACTCAGCATAATGCTCTTGAAATATTGGTGTATATTAATAATTTGTTCCTTTTTTATTGCTGAGCAGTATTCTATGGTGTGGATGTACCACAATTTGTTTATCCATCACCTGTGGTCCTCAACCAAACAATTCAGTTGTTTCCAGTTTTTGGCTGTTACCACTATAGCTGCTGTGAATAATCATGTGCAGGTTGTTATGCGGACATATGTTTTTATTTCTCTGCAATAAAGTGCCCAGGAGTTCTGGGTTGTGTGGCAAGTGTGTGTTTAATTTTGTAAGAAGCTGCCCAACAGTTTCCAGAGTGACTGCACCATTTTACATTCCCACCAACATACACGAGAGATCCAGTTTCTCTGTGTACTTGCCAGTGTTCGGTATTGTCACTGTTTTTTATTTTAAGGTGTGTAGTATAGCTCAATTAATTTTCTTTCCCTTATGGCTAGTGATATTGAACCTCTTTTATATCCTCTGTATATCCTCTTCAGTGAAATATCTTTTCATGTCTCTTGTCTGTTTTCTAATTGGATTGTTTGGTTTTTCGCTGCTGAGTTTTGAGAATCAGAACTGTACTCATTCATTAGTTGCAACCATAGGTTAGCTACAGATATGAATTCTATGAAAATCAGCTAACATTCTGTGAGAATCAGTTGGCTATGTGGAATTTACAATAAGTATTATAGATTTTATTATTCGTGAAATTCTGTGCGATACATTCTTTATATCAGTAAAATTTATAATAAACCTATGTACCTATATATGTATGTATAGTATAAATATATGGACATGTGTGTGTGTATATTCACATATGCATACTCTCTCCTATCCTCCATCCTCAAACCAGTTGTTAAACATTGAACAGCATACCACTGGGAATATTACTATTACCTTTAATTTTTAATATTAAATTAAAATTTTAAAATTACAATTTTAGTTTAACAATTCTAATTGAAAAAACTGAACTGATAACTAGCAATGTCACTGGCGCCTTCCATTTCGCAGTGTCATTGTCTTTATGTAATGGTCTTATAAGCTGCCAGTAGATGTTGATTACTTCAGATATGACTATAAGTGACTATGATCAGATGCTGTCAGTATATGAGTACAATCTTCCTTCTTCTGAGCATAGAGAAATTTTACATTGACAGTCACTAAGAGAATGCTCACAATTAGGTGAAAGTCATGAAAGAGTTCTCCCCCGCTCTTGTTGCTTTCACATTATAAAAGATTTGGGTGGCATTTCGCTTCTGTTTCATGTCACAATGATATTGCAGAAGGTGCGAAAGAGGTTATCAACTGTTTGATCCCTTGAGAATGGTGCAGAATATGTGCATAATGTCCATGTGTTTTAAGGATTTTCTAAAATGGTATTTCATAATCTGACAGAGCAGCCAGAAATAGTCTAGCATTTCACCCTAACACTTGTTAATACATATTTCTATTTGTGAAATTTTAAGGACATTGCTCTAAAGTTATTCAATATTAGATTGTCTTTTCTAACTTAGTAGAGACCTTTTAACTTCCTCTGCAGTACTAAACAATTGTACGTGTATACAATATCCCCAACTTTTTTTTTTTCTTTATCTCTTTGATGTACATTTGTGCAATATATAATTCTAAATTTGTCTTGGCTTTTTTCCTTTCAGTTTAATGAGTGGTGTCAAGAATAATGTTGGAAGAGGAATCAATGTTGCCTTGGTAAATGGTAAGAATAATTATTTTAGCTTATACATGTAGTCAGTGGATATTCGTGTGCCCCAAAGTGAAATACACTCTAATATCAAGGGATCAGGTCAGCAAGTGCCACTCTTGACACTGAAGTCCTCCTTCCACCCTTCCCTTTAGCCCCCAAAAAACCAACTATAGGTGGAGACTCAGTGTCTAAGTATTTATTTCATGCATTCTTGGAAGTATCCAGCTTGCTGTGCAATGTGTGGAGAGCTTCCCATGAAGTTGTCAGTAAACAACCAGTCTGACATTAAATTGATGAATTCTTGCTGCAAATTTTGGAATCCTAATATAACGTGAAGATAGATTAACATGAATGTGGGTGTGTAAAATGAAAAAGGGTGATAGACTGTTGGATGGGGTGGGGGAGGAATGAAGGGTAAGAATTAAATGTAATTTTTCAGTATTGTCCACGTTCTTCTGATAATTTCATCAGTATAAATAAGTTCATTGAATCCTGAGTATCTCGAGTGTTATTGCAAAATCAGATCTGACAATGTGAACCCATAACTTGAGGCCTAACTGCATGCTGATCTTCTCTTTCTGGTACAATAACCCTGTAAAGCTGTGTAGTATAGTTAGAAACCACAGTTATGCTATTCATAGTGTAGGAAAATATTTTTTACCTATTTCACAGCGAGAGATAAATTTTTGAGTTTCCACTTTCTTCATTTTCTTAGGTAAAGGGTTCTTCATCTATTTGCCTATTTAAATTGATAGCAAAAAAAAAACATTTTAAAAGGGATATAAATGTAAATTTTTTAAAAAGATTGCTTTAATGATAGAAAATAGCATCAGATTCATCTTTTTATAAAAGGTTTATGTATTTTTGGGTAATTCTTAAGTAAGGGAAGATGGTAACACATAAGGATGAAAAATATCTAACTTTGAATTTGAATTTGAATAGTCTGCAATCAGTGGTGAACTTCTATTTGCTGCTCTTTGGCTTATAAGATAGATGAGAAAGTCCTATCCCAAAATTACCCTTTAGAAATATATTTCAGTTGTATACAGTTCAAATTTTAAGTCTTTCTTAAAATAATTCTTTCTCTGCTAATGAATTCACATCAATCATTGGATAAGATCATTTGCCTTATACAACATAGAGTATATTTCAGTTGCATAATTTGATATGAATTCAATCTCTTTCAGGAAAAACAGGAGAAGTATTAGATACCAAATATTTTGACATGTGGGGAGGAGGTAAGTGTGAGTAACATATAACTATTCTGTTGCTAGCACTGATTTCTTAATCGCCTCAGCATAATATAGCCCATTAATGAGAGAAAAATGGTACTATTTTTGTGTTAGTTCATTTTGTTTCTCTTACTTTCTTTTCACTAAATGTCCACCTATATTTAAGTGATCAGTCATATTGCATACACTTTACTTTTTTTTTATAAAAATTGTTTGCAGTGTGTAATTAAGAGCAATAATATCAAATTTGAGATTTAAAAAGAAATCTGAGTTTCTTTTTTGCAAGACAACTAATTGAAGGCTTTCAATGGGCTCCTTTAGGTTTCTATCTGAAATTTAAAAAAAAAAAGTAATTTGAAGAAGGGCATAACTGATTTAAGCATTTTAACTGACTGAATTGATTTCTTTACATATGATTTTTCAGTCTCAAAAGTTAATCATAACCAGGATTGTTATTGAAGTAGATGAATATTTGAGAGAAGGAATAAAATTTTCTTTCCAGTTCATTGGACTTAGAGCAATACACAGATATCTTCCTAATTTGGAAGTTCCTCAAGGAGCAGGTGGAAGTTAGTCACCAGCATGCAGAGGCAAGGGACTGGCACCTTGAAGAGGAACGTGCCTGAAAGAAAGGGATTTTTTCAGGTTTGAAGGAAGACCAACACTGATTTATCTTTTGATTTTTCTCTAAGTTGTTGGTTTGGGAAATTTATCAGCGTGAGGCTCTCTCCTGCATGTCCCCATCCCCTTTATGTACTTCCAGGAGCCCACAGCTGTTAGGCTTTCTGAAATTTAAGTTTTCAGACCATTCAACTTTTCTAACATTTCTTCAGCTTGTAATGAGATGCCATGTATTATTTACTCTTTAAATGAGATTAGGCGAACTTTTTATATCTGTCAAAACTGTGTAAACTTCAAATACTACCATCAGTTTTAGATTCTAAAGGCATAATTGGTCCTAGCAAAACTTACTGCATAGAAACAGTCTTACACAACTGTTGCTGAAATCAGTCATGTGACCAGAAGCTCTGGTATTTCCTCACAGGTAGATTGATTACTGCTGAAAATACTCCTCAAGTTAAGAAATAGTTGCAGTTTACTGCCATCTTTGCATTTAAATGGAAGTGATTTGTTAGCTGCTCTGTTGCAATTTTTCTGAATTGAAAATGCTGTTATTATAAAATAAAAATAGAGTTCAATTAGAGAAAATATTTGGAATCTTTGCTGTGGAAAGAAACTGAGTAAATTTGAAGTAACCCAGTTTTGAAGTAATGTTGGACTTGGGGACTGTAGGAAACCTGACATTGTAAAGAGTTGAGGATGTGGACTCGTTCAGGTACCTGATCTGCCCTCCGGCCCCACCAGTTTGTAGTTACTGACGAGGTTTAGTTTGAAGTCCTTGTGAACCTTGAGACGCTATATGAAGCGGGTAATGACTGTAATATTTGCCATAATTAGAACCGACATTCTTTCTCCCAGTTTATAGTGAGTAGATATGCCCAGAAGATCCCTTAATTCAGGTGTGTTTGTGTGTATGTGCATATGTATTCATATAATTTTTTAAAAATTACAAATCCTTTTGTGAAATAGATAAAAGCTGTATATCCTCTTTTAGAAAAGTACCTGTGCAAACAATTTTACAAACACTCAGGGCGTCCATGAGCCTTTCTCCTGCCCCCCTGAGTTTCTTACTTTAAATCCTAAGTCATGCTTTAATATGACTTTGCTGTAGTTTTTTCATTTAGCCCTAGAAAATCGGTACCAAAGACACACAGGATGAATCGGGATTGGGAAATTTTAAGTTAATGGTAGGATCATATTAAGGTGCAAACTTAATTTTTTTAATTGTTCATAAGATTTATCTCCTTTTTGGTTACTCTACTTTAGAAATTATTGATTTGCAAATACTTCATATTTTATATTGATGTTAGAGATTATCATGATGGTTAGTTATTTTTTAAAACACCTTCAACTCTTTCTTTTTCTTCAGATGTGGCCCCATTTATTGAATTTCTGAAGTCCATACAAGATGGAACAATAGTCTTAATGGGAACATATGATGATGGAGCAACCAAGTATGTAAACTTAAAAATGTGTTCAAATTTTTGGAGCTATAATTTATAATTTAAAAAGCAATACATTTTCAATGAAAAAAGTTTATAAAATAGAGCAAAGTAATCCAACTTCCAGATAAACACTGTTAATATTTTTTCTAGTTTACTTCCTTCTATCTTTCTTTCTTCCTTCTATCTTTTCATGTATTTATCATGCATATATTATTGTGAAATGAGAATCATATTGTACATAAAGTTTGTAATACTCTCTTTTATATTCTGTTTTTAACAACCTTAAATTGTTTTCTCTGACATAAATATTCTTCAGTAGCATTTTTCATGGCTCATGAACAGTTGATCATATGGCCTCACTTTTATTTAATAGTTCCCTAGTATTGCCAGATTTTTCATATTATAAATAACATTGTGATAAACATCCTTTTACATAAATTTTTTTGCACCTTTGATTATATCCTTAGGTTAAATTCCTAGAAGTGGAATTAATTATAAAAGGAGAAATGTGATATATTTTTCATAAAGTTTAATAGATGGTAGTTTGTAACTTTTTTCTTAAAACTGTATGCCTTGTAAAAATTTGGAAAATACAGAAAAACACAAAGAAGAAAACAAGTTCCAGTTCATTTCACTACTCCAAGATAACCATTGATGATATTTTAGTTTCCATCTCTAGATTTCTCAATGCACATATTTTCTTCATTTTAAACATTTGGAATGGTAGTATTTCTAGCACACCTTTTCATTTATTTATGTGATGAATATTTTCCCTGTATCATCAAATATTTTTCATAACAAAATTGTTCATGTCTGCCTAACATAGTTTTTTTTGTTTGTTTGTTTGTTTGTTTTTTGTGAGGAAGATCAGCCCTGAGCTAACATCCATGCCAATCTTCCTCTTTTTGCTGAGGAAGACTGGCCCTGGGCTAATATCTGTGCCCATCTTCCTCCATTTTATATGGGACGCTGCCACAGCATGGCCTGACAAAGGGTGCACTGGTGCGCGCCCGGCATCCGAACCCGGGCCGCCAGCAGCAGAGCACGCGCACTTAACCGCTATACCACGGGGTCGGCCCCTGCCTAATATAGTTTTTAAACGTGTCATGATTTAGAATTTGTTTAATAAAATACCTACTGCTGGGACTCTTAGGCTATTTCCAATTTTTCATACTGAGCAAAAATCTTTTTGAACTATCATCTATTTCCTCAAGATAAATTTTTTTGGAGTAAGATTGTTGAATTAAAGGATGTACATGTTTTTAAAAGAGAATTTTTTTAAGTTTGTACCAATTTTACATGTTTCTTAGAAGCTCCGTGACACTGATTGTTAATTTTTTAAAAGTTCCCAATACTAAAAGTTTTGGAAAGGGATTTTGTGTTAATATACCTTTCTTTGGTTATTGGTGAGACTAGATTTTTTTCACAAGTGTTTTTGGCTCTTTCTCTTATAATATTGTCTTTTGACCACTCAGGTTGACTCCTTTATTTGTAAGAGCCCTTTATATGTTAAGAATATTAACCATTTCTCATGTTAAAATATATTATTTTGCTTTTAATTTTTTAAATTCATGGTGCTTTGTGACTTTTAGAAGTTCAGACATAATTCTTATGTTGTCAAGTGTATGGATTTTCCTTCTTAGTTTCTTTTACTTTTATATTGGAGAAGTATTTTTCCATCTCTAAATTAAATATTTAGTAGATTTTTCTCTTCTAGTGATTTTACTGTTTTCATGTATTTAAAAAAATCTACTTGTAACTTCTCAGTGACTATAAGCCACTGTTCTTATGTGAAGAAATGCCTGTTCTTATGTAGATTTGACTTTGTTTCTAGAAATTCTGTTCTGTTTATCTATTTATTCCTGCTCCAATAGGATGTTGTTTCAATTTTTTAATGGCTATTTTATAAAAATAAGTATACTTAATATGTTTCTGCTGGGGCTAAATCCTCTTTAATAGTCTTCTTTCTCAATCTATGATACTTTACCCAGATGACTTTTATCAAGAATAAAACAATATCCATTATAGATTTTCATTGAAAAGGCTTTAAAACTCTAAGTTCCACACAGGATTATGGCATGTTTTTCTATGTATTGATTTTTTATACATGTATTTAATGTGTAACTACATTATTACAGATTTGCTCTAAGAAAACAGTACCACTTTATGAATGTTTCTAAGTTGAAGTAGTCTCATTGACGTTGTGCTTTTTATCTGGTTCAGCTAAGGATGTGTTAAATCCATAGATCAAAGGTTAAATAAAACTGACATATCATCCATTGCCATTTAGTTAAGTACAGCTAAACACAATGTAATTAGGCTTTCCTTATCAAGCTATTTGCTTTTGCTGAGAGAAGAGGATAGTACATGTATAATTTGAGGTTTTAAAGTTAAAAAAAAAAAAAAAAGGCCCTACTTTTCTGAATAGATGCACATGACCTCTCTTTTTCGTTGGGTTATTTCATTATTATACCTGATGAGCATCGGACCTGCTCCCCTTCTGCTAATAATAAATCGTTGCCATACCTAAGAACCAAGCAAGGATGATGTTTACTCTTTAGTTGCTATTTATTGATGCCCATCAAATGCACCAAAAGCAGCATCAGAAGAGGGTTCAACCTATAAGGTAAAAGTAGAAGTCCAAACTTTGATGTCTTTACACATGGTCAATATATGATTCATCTTCTGTGCATTTAAAATGAACTCAGTTGTATGCATTTTCAGTTTGGGGCACGTGAATTTATACGTCAAATACTTCCCTCTCCAAACACTAATAAATTATAAACGTTATGTCCTTTATACAGAAATGGACTAATAATCCGTATGAAGGGCCATCTGCATCTATTCAGCATAACAAAATATAAACATATACCTTGGCAGGTGTCTGATTGTGAAACATTTGAAATGGTTCATCAGTTGTGGTAAACCCAGTCTTAAATCAGATAAGAAGCTCTGCTTACTTCTGCTGGTGTGTTATGTCTTTTCCTTATATAAGGCCATTAGATGTTCCCTCGTAAGGAATGGTTTGTTCTCCCGCTTATACCCAAGAGGGTTTGGAATACCAAATGGATGTGCCTGCTTTCTCCAAGACAGGGAGTTGGTATCCATGTTGATTAGGGAAAGCAGGACTCAGTTCTCTATAGTTCTTCTCCTCTGATCCTAGTTACTCCTGTACATAATGAGCTCCTGGGCTATACACTGAACTTCAGCAGAATGACTGGGATTGGTCTCCATCACAGCATTTCCCAAAGTGTGTTCTGGTGGAACCCCAGTCCTCTAAAACTCTAATGGTTGAATAAGTTTGGAGGTGGCACCATGTATTTTGCCCCTTGTAGGGATTTACAATGAAAGACTCTGAAGTTCTGCCTCAAAGAATCCTCTTTACTTTTGTTTATCCCAGTATTTATTGATTTTAACTAGGAAGCCTATTTTAAAAACAAAACAGAAAAAAAACCTATATCTAAGAAGACTTACACTTTGGGGAGCGCAGCTCTCTATAATGATGCCTACTCTCCATCCCCCCACTCCCTACTATAAAATAAGTTCGTTTTTGTTTGTTTGAATGAGCAAGCTAAATTTTGTTATTGTATTCCTCCTTTTGGAAAGAACGCTCTGTGACATGTTAACTGCATGCCTAAGTGAAGGGTTTACACGTGGATGTCTTGAAGTAGGGGATCTTAAAGGTCACCTGAACCAGCCTCCCAGCGAAGACGAGATGGAACTTCTCTATGAATACCTCCGCTGAACTACTCACCTCCTAATTTGCCAGTACTCTCATCATTTCTCTGTTTAAAACAAAACACAACAAAAAGCTATTCTTAAGTAAATGTTATGTTCTCAGGGTGGTCTCCCTCTAAATTCCACCTGATAGTCTAACTTGGGTGAGTGGAACAACAAAACGATTAATAAGTTCCCCAAATCATTTGATACTCCAAGTATTTGAAACCAATTGGCATTTCTCTTTTCCAAGCTCAATATGCATAGCTCTTTTAACCTTTTATCATGTTAAGTTTCTAGGTCGTTTTACCCTCCTGGCTGAATTTCTTAGGCATTCTCTAGTTGGTTATCATCTTTCTTAAAATGAGTGCCCCAAATTGAACACAGTATTCCAGATGTGGTCCGGCCAGTACAGGGTACACTGGAGATGCTAGCTTACTATGTTGTAGAGATTACATTTCTTTGAATATTCATGCACATTAGTATTGTATTAGTTTTCTTTAAACAGTCACATCCCATTTTTGGCTCATGAATTTTTGGTCAAGTTAAATTCTCAGATCTTTTCATTTGATCTCAGACTTTTTTTTTTTTTAAACCACTGCCAAGTCAGGTCTTTCTCCCCATTCAGAACTTGATTTTGTTTAATCTAAATGAAGGACTTTGTATTCATTTATCCTTGTTAAATTTAATTTTGCTGATTTTGGCCCACTTGGTTTTGATTCTGACATTTGTCCTATGAGCTTTCCATGATCCAGGCTTTATATTCTCTCCAAAGTCATTCTTAGGTCTAAATCTAAGTCATCGATAAAAATGTTTACCAAGGGCAGTGTGCCACCCTGCTAGAGGCCTCCTCCAAGGGATTCATCTGTTAATCGACTGCAGAAAGTACTTTTCAGACAGCTGCCAATGTACCCTAATAGGCAGACTGTCCACTCCTATTTCATTATTTTATTCATAGAGGCTATATTCTGCGACTATCAGATGCTCATTTGAAATTCATGAACTATGCTAATTACAGTACCCTGATCTACTGCCTGAAAACCTTTTCAAAAGCTGAAATAGCTGAGATGATAACTTGGCTTTATTTATTCCTCCCTCCTTCCCACTACCCCCCCTTTCTTTTCTTCTTCTTTTTTTTTGATGCTTTCAAGATCTCCTTGATGTTATCCATTCTAGAATTTTTCTAGGAATTGGAATTGGTTTTATCAGCCAATGTATCTGAAATTTTCCTTGTCTTTTTTGAAAACTGGAATATTTAACTTTTAATGTCTTTGGATCTTCAATTTCCATGATGCTTTTAAAATAACTGATACTACCCTGAAGATTATATTAACAAGGTCCTTTAGAATTTAAGTGTGTGACATATGTGGGCCTGGAAGCTTAAATTTACTTTAAAGCCCTTATGTGGACATTCTCAACTACTATTCCCTTTTTATGTTGATCAAAGAGTGTTTGCCTCCCTGAAAAATACAGTCGTGGATTGATCTTGATATTATATCATTCTTGTGAAATAGTGGATCCCTTCGTTATTTGCACTTAGGAAAAGTTCTTTCTGTGGTCTTTAATAGTTTTACAAGTCTCGTCTCATTCTGAGCCATACAGGTCTTCCTAGTAGTAGTAGTAAACGTTCTGTCATTAGTAACAGGATTTGCCTTGTATTTTTGCACACTTCCTTTTTTGAGTTTGAGCCCATCACAGAACACTCCTATAGTAGCACTAATTTAGAAACCCTTCTCCTTTTTCCTGGGATTGTTAGCAATTATATAGTGAAAATTATTGAGGTTTTTTTGTTTGTTTGTTTTTAAAAAGTCATAGTCTCTCATAAGAGTTTCTAATCTGAACTTTTTATAATATACCCTCTTTAAAGTCTAGGCTGCATGGTCACCTATGCCTAGCATTTCTTATTCTTCAAACTCCTGAGGTAACATGATGATTTTCAAATGTAGCCAAGTTACCATCTCATTTTAAATAAAGCCAAGTTATCATCTCAGCTTTTCCGAAGTTCTTGGCACTTACACTTCTGCCTCCCAACTGGTTATTCCCAGAGTTGAGCTCAGAATATCAGTTCTCCTTGTTGCTTTCTGTACTTTCGAGAAAGGGAGCATTGGCTTGGTTTGATGGTGTGACTGTAGGACTATCAGATGTTCCTCCTTTCCCAGCAGAGTTGGAGGCAGGTCTCAGAGACTCCCCATCTGCAGTTCCCACTTCCTCTATTTCTTCTCCAGATTGCCTCTGTGTATCTTTAGAATCTGTTCTAGGAGAACTTGATCCCTATCTCTCTCTACTTGCTGGTTTGTCACAGGATGATTTTCTATTCATTTTAAAGAAAATCGTTAACTAAAATAATTTATTTCATATAAATTTTTAGCATCTCGGCTAGTTAATAGCCTTGGTAAAGATTAAAATATATATAACAAACTCATGGTGCTCCTGTAAAGCTTATTTCTCCAAAATTTATGCTACATATAAATACATTAGTTACACTGGCTTTTAAAGAAATGGGGCATTTTGACACCTACTGTATACTTAATCAAATGCTCAAAATATTTGCTATGTTGTATGGTTTTAAACTTCTTTTTTAAAACATGAAATTATCTTTTACTTAGTTAAATAGAAGATATCAGAAAGGAATAATAAAATCCCCCAAATTCTATATGGGCAGATCAGAAAACTTTAGAAGTTACTGAGCAAGTTATCTTGTTATAAGACTATAGTTAGATATACATAGGGACATGTGGCAGGGGTGCCCAAGACCACTCCAGTTTTGATCATTTGCTCGGAGGACTCACAGGACTCGGCATATAGACCTGCTCACTCACGGCTACAATTTGTTACAGCAAAAGGAAACAAAGCACAATCAGCAAAGGGGAGCGTGCACAAAGTCTAGAGGGACCCAGGCCCAGGTTTCCAAGAGTCCTCTCACAAGTGGAGTCACACAGGACGTACTTAAGTCCTCCAGCAACAAATTGTGACAACACTGTGAAATGCTGCCTACTAGGGAAGCTCATTAAAGACTCAGTGCCCAGGATTTTTACTGGGCGCTGGTCATGTATGTCCCCTCTGCCTAACACATCCAAAATTCCAGATTCCTAGACAGAAAGTAGGTGTTCAGCATAAACTGTATTGTTTTTACAGTTTAGACACAGTGAATCATTCTGATCAGTTCTGGGAATGGTGAGAGCCCTCCCCAAATCCAAGTTTCCAGATGCCCGCCAAGGACCAATCTTGTTATTAGGCCTTTCTAAAGATAGCCAGCTCAGGCCTACTATGTGAGCCCTTTTCTGCACAGGACCTTAGGGTGTTCTCATGGGAAAGTGAGGAAAGAGATGCAAAGTCAGAAGGTAAACCTAAATTTTCAAGTTGCTTCTAGATCTCTGGCTAAATTGGCTTAGTTTATTCACACAGATCAAAATGATCACTTCTGCAATTCAAAAGTACAGAAGTAAAAATGACTGCCCTTCAATCTATTTATTAATTGATATAAAATTCTAAGAAAAGAAAGATTTTATGTACTTTTTGCAGGGGGCCAGACCTGTGTTTGGATAACCACCTACTTTGCATGCAGTTCTTATGTACAAAGCAGTCTCTTGGCATTTGTGAACTTAACATTCAGCTATTTATGAGCAACCCTAAAGCCTGTGGGGGCCAGTTTGTGATTTTTCTGAGATGTAAGTGTGAATCTAGTCCCAAGGTCTCTGCAGGAGGTTGTCACTAAGCTGCCCAGTAAGCCTACTGCCCGACCTCTGCGTTTCAGTACTGTTTCCTCTTGTTATAGAGGCAAAACTCACCTGCTAGTGCTGATGATGCAAGTAAAATGTTCTAAGAAAGTAGCCAGAAAAGAGAGCATTTGGATAAACTAAAGAGTGGCATTTGACAGTCTTCCAAATTTATGATCCTAACACCATTTGGAAACAAGAAAAGAGGTTTGAGGCAATACTTTGAGAGAGTGTCCCCCTAAGACAAAAGTTGCTTATCAAGTGAACAAATGAATGAAAAGTGAAAGCTAATTCATGTAAGGATGGGCACAGGCCGCACAGCTGCAGACCACCTTTGGGGAGAAAGCCAGAAGCAAGTACACGTGATTCTCTGGAAGGTCTCAATCTTCAGAGTGGCTGAGACTTCACTGGTTCTTTTGCATGGCTGTTTCATTTATTTTTATTTCACTTGGTTATAAATGCGTCACTCTATATAGATTTGAGTCTGAAAGGCTAAATATTCCAGGGCTACAGCTGATTTTCTCGCTGATTCTAGTGAACTTCCCCCAGAAAGACAACAGTGCCCAGGCTGTGGTTAAAACTGCTCCACTGCCCCGTGGATGGAATTTGCATAAATTGTGGAAATCTAATGATATACGTAGTTCTTTCCTGTTTTTTAAAGCGTTTTTTTTTAATCATAAATTATCCCGTTTATCTTCAAGTTGGTTAAATGAGAACTGTTGTACCTAGTGTTTCTTTCATTACTACATTAGAGGAGCTGATATTAACAGGGGGTGTTTCAAAGAACACTGTGGGAGGGCCGGCCCCGAGGCTTAGCGGTTAAGTGCGTGCGCTCCGCTGCTGGCGGCCCGGGTTCGGATCCTGGGCGCGCACCGACACACCACTTCTCTGGCCATGCTGAGGCTGCGTCCCACATACAGCAACTAGAAGGATGTGCAACTATGACATAACAACTATCTGCTGGGGCTTTGGGGGAAAAATAAATAAATAAAATTATAAAAACAAAACAAAACAAAACAAAGAACACTGGGATAAATGAGTACCTTCCTCACTGACCCTCATGTGTTTGCGGTTAATGACCCTCCAGCCATGTGCAAATATAAAACTTGCCTTACCTCAGATTTTAGCAGAACAAACCTCTCTAATTGACCTGTAAGTGCCATTTTTGGGTGATATATAGGACTTACTGCCAAATACCTGCACAGGTGGCCCTTGATTATCATTTGTTTTTCTTCAGTTCTACAGCTAGCATGTATCTACTGAATTTCTTCTCCTTTTGAGACAGAAGGGAGGTTGAGAATCACTCAACATTGCATAATAACCTCCACAAAATTCCTTAATGGCATCTTTCAATTAGCTGTTTCCCCAGCCCTTGATTTTTGTCACTGCCCTTCCTCCTGCTGCAGGTGCTTAGCTGCTGGGTGGTTAATATTTTCATTTTTATTAAATAACCACTTGGCAGTTATCACTGAAGTACAATTTATATCCCTGTTCTCAAAATTCATTTTCTTTTACTTTTTTTTTTTTTTTTGTGAGGAAGGTCAGCCCTGAGCTAACATCCATGCCAATCCTCCTTTTTTTGCTGAGGAAGACTGGCCCTGGGCTAACATCTGTGCCCATCTTCCTCCACTTTATATGGGACGCCGCCACAGCATGGCCTGACAAGTGGTGCGTCGGTGCGCACCCAGGATCCGAACCCCGGGCCACCAGCAGTGGAGCGTGTGCACTTAACCGCTATACCACGGGGCCGGCCCCAAAATTCATTTTCTTTTAAATAAAACAAGTATTAGAAACATCCAGATTTCTCTCAGCATTTACCTTTATCCTATTTGAATGAAATTTACAGAGGGTTTAGTGGAGATTCAAAGTGGTTTTTAATTTTACAAAGGTATCGATTGCTTAAGACCTTGGATTAACCTGGATAGGCATCTGCTAACTGCAGTATCCTTATTTATTTGACGAAGGTAGATGAAAGTGAATTATTGTTGTGAAGTAAAGGCATCTAAAAGGTACTTCTTAATAGGATAAACTTAAAATTGCTGTATTTCATGTCCTTTGTCACTAAAGAATTCAATGGTAGGAATGTTACTCTGAAACAAGGCCCAATAGATAGTTGTATGTCATAGTTGTACATCCTTCTAGTTGCTCTTTGTGGGACCATCGCCTCAGCATGGCTTGACGAGCAGTGCGTAGGTCCCTGCCTAGGATCCAAACTGGTGAACCCCAGGGCACCAAAGCAGAGTGCGCGAACTTAGCCGCTACGCTACTGGGCTGGCCCCTCTTTATTCTTTTTTAATGTTCTCATATTTAAGCCGACATTGTCTCATTTTATCTCATATGTTAACTATCCTAGGTGAGTCAGTATTACTTAGATAACATGCAGTGTGCTATGTTTATTGCATTATTCTTTCTCTCCTTCAAGACTCAATGATGAGGCGCGACGGCTCATTGCTGAATTGGGGAGTACATCTATTACTACTCTTGGTTTTAGAGACAACTGGGTCTTCTGTGGTGGTAAAGGCATTAAGACCAAAAGCCCTTTTGAACAGGTTAGTGTCTTAGACTTTCATGATTAATGGACAAAAGCAAATTGTATGAAACTATGCAGTACATATTCCTATCCCAGTTATTTGAAACTTAAATAAAGCAGACATTAAATATATTCATATATTTTTCATAAATTCTTAGTAATCAATTAGTTGAAATAACTATGGCACTGTTTTAATTTCAAAACTTAAAAATAGTCAAATTCTGCATGGAAATTTTTTTCCTACATGACAGTGCATTGGCATGTGATTACTGTATCTTCAGCCTTTTAGGAAGCATTGGTTAATAAAGATTTTAATTGAGCTTTTGATATTTTAATCAGTTAAGTTTGGAAATACTTCAGAACTTAGTAGAAGATAAACTTTAATTTTTGAGTAACAAATGATCCTTTAAAAAATATGTGCAATGTTTTGTTCTTTCAGCTGTTATTTGAAGGTCTGTCACTACATGCCAAGCCCCAAGGGTTGCTCTTTTAATATCTTGAACAATAATTTATATGAACTCATTGTTGGCATGAGTGTTAACTGAAATGAGTGCACTAAAGTATGTTATTGCAGATAAGCAGTTCACAGAGGGTTTTAAAACTGTATGCTATGATTGTGTTCCAACAGTACATAAAGAACAATAAGGACACAAACAAATATGAAGGATGGCCCGAAGTTGTGGAAATGGAAGGATGCATCCCCCAGAAGCAAGACTAATGTGGAGAAAATGGAAGGAAGAACGCTTGCACTGTTACTGGGAGAGCTAGCGTAGAGGAACTATGTGTAAATATTTTAAGAGCGTGCAGCCATCTTGGTGTGTGCATGAGCATTATCTCTTTTGATATCAGGATTATTTATTGCTAACGTAAATAGATAGCTTTGTAAATAGCATAATGAGCAAATAACTGAACCATTTCTAAGCACATTTCCCCAATAGTACAGTGTTTGGAATGCTATGGTAATAACATCTTTTAATTCTAAAAGCATACCCAATGGATAACTGAACAGATTGTGAAAAATATATTGATATATATACTGGTTGCTGTGAAAATCTATCATGGAATAATAGGGATTTTAGGGAGGAGACGTTTTTTCTTTTTTATATATATTGCCTTTTGATGATAGTATCTTTCAAATTAAAAAGATATTTGGCTAGTTGTGTATGTAATGTTACTTTACAGTCTGACTCTCCTGATGTACCTCCTTTCTTGGTCTTTCTCTTCCCTTCCCAAGAAACTTAGAAATAAAATGACGTGAAAACTTAGATATGTGAAAAGCACAACAACATTCTTTTTTTTAATATACACAGTAAAAAGTAAGTATATAAATGTAGATGGCAGTCAGGACTATAGCTTGCTAGATTTTGTGTTAGCAATGTAAATAACTTGATTTTGTATAAGCTATTTAGAGTGAAGCTGGAGGTGGCAACTCCACAGAACTGGGGAACCAGGCCAAGTCCCTTCCCCAACCTAATTAGGTCATTCAGGATGGCCATGTCAGTACAGTTAGAGCAATACTGGCGTATATTTTCCTTATTTAATTGGTGTCAGCATTGACGAAGTGGTTTGGAAAGAGACATGCTTTAATATCACAATAATTTCAATTTGTAAACCAAGAAATTAATTCTGTATTTACTTGATCTAACTTCATAACAGCAATTTTTGCCTGAAGATATAGTGACATATTTAGAAAAGTCCTAATTACTGAGTGGACTGATAACATTTTAAAAAATAACTTTATTTGACACAAAATGACTTTATATCCAATTCTACGTAAAAAAATATGAGAGATCTAACTTTTTTGTTAACTTCAGGTGTTCGCTAAATGACTCAAAGTTTTTAAAAATTTTTTTAGGACATTCAATACCTATTCTATATGAAGTGTCTTAAACTAGGACTTAAACAAGTTAAATGGTCAGACTGCCATTTACAATAAAGGCAGCACTTAAAATTTTGAATCTAAATTTTAGATGACTTGTATAAAAAAACTAAAAGCAGTATTTTTCATTTTGCTGTAAACCAAGTTGGAAGCTATTCAGCTATTTCTTAAATATTAATGAGCTTTGAGGTACTGTTTCTTTCCCTCAAACTGAATGTAATTTATGAATAAATGCACCTTACAGATTTAATCAATTTTTGTAAACTTCAGATTTTTGGTGCTTATATGCTAAATCACATTCAGCGTGTATATTTTGACATTTAAAATACTTCCCTCGATTCTGTAAATTAAAAGAATAGCTATTTTACGGTTTCAGGGATTGTGAAATAAATGTTGCATTTTTTTTTTAAATAATGAAAATAAATACTCCTGCTTTTGCATTGTGATTTTTTTGGTATTATCTGGCAAAGTAACATACCTACAGAACTTCATATTAAGAGTTTGTCAAGCATTTATTGTACTGCTTAACATGCAAAATTTGTCATTCCTGTGGTTAAACACACTAATATCCTCAGGATATATCTTAACATGTATAGAATTTAAGTATCTAGGTGGCAGGATGTCCCTTTCAAGATAAAGACTGAAACATGATAGCTTTGTAAAGGTGTATATGATGTCAGAAGAAGGGATGAAGTTTGGTTATGTACCTGCTCTGTCGGGTGCAGTTTGCTTTTGTTTCAATTCTGTCTTGTAGAGATTGTGCCAACTTAACTTTGGAAGCAATAATTTTACTACATTTCATTTTCAGATATCTTTTAAAAATCATTATAAATGAAGCAATGGTCATTTAATGTTGTTAAGAATTTTCTTTATTAAAATCAAATTTGGCATTGACACTTGGGTATTTTAAATGGTGTTTAAGCACTTACGGATGCCTATTTTTTATTTGTAATCATAGATGCTTTCCCAGAACAAGTGTATTATAATATGCCTGTTAAAATTAAGCAAAGACAGTAGGCAAATAAGTGATATTTGGGAAATTAAAAATTGAGCCAGTCTTTATATTCCTGACTTTAATTTGATTAAAGTAAAATTTATCATTGTTCTTTCTATACTTTCTTGTATTTGTTTTGAAATCAATCAGCTAATATTTTATAATTTTATGCCAGATGAAGCTCAATGCATTTAGCCTGTATTGCACTTTATACTTGAATAGTTTATACAAAGTATAAATAATTTGACCTCCCAAAAAAGAGGACAGTTTTATTCAGTTTGGTTGACACTCTCCATTTTTAAATGAAAGAATGAGAAATGTGCACTGTGTTCAGTTATTACAACAGTTAAAAGTGGAAATGCATTTAGAATACTTTTTAAAATGAATATGAAGGGGGAAAATTGTGTTGATCAGGGAAAAGATTTGCCACTTAACCCCTTCAATTAGGCCTTGGACAGCAACAAGTACATGTAAATTAAGAGTTGTAGAATAAAGAACCAGATTTTACCTTTTCTAAAGCGTTTCTCAGAAGAATTCTTTTGCTGTCTCTTCCCAGGATGATTTTTCTGTCATATGCTTGGTTTTTTTGATTGTCACATGGCAATGGCTAGTTAACCTCCATTCCCCTCAAAGCTCCCTCCATTTAACTAGGCCTTGTCCTTGCCTATTGACTGTCTCTCCCCTGCCCCATCCCCTGTCTTGAGGGTCCAATCAAATCAAGTGCTAGATAAAGTGAAAAGCAGACAAGCCTGGCTTGGAAGTGTCAGTCTGTTGCTAGGCAGCTCAAAGGGAGTGGCAAAGGATGGTGCAGGAAGAAGGTGAAAGCCATCGGGGAATCTAAGGGACTCTGCCTCCACCAGAACCTTCCTCCAATCCAGTGAGGGGGCAGACTGCTGGAAGGCAGCTATATTAAGGAAACACTTTCAACACCAGGATGTCTCTTCTAGAAGTGGTCAGAAAGGAAAGGGGCTGGCTAGCCCTTCGAGACAGAAGAGAGGTTTCTCTTGGGTTTGTTCCATGGGCAGTTTATAAACAAACAAAACAGGGAAGACAATCTTCCCAGTACAACGAGTTCACAGCTGCAAGTTGCTGACATTACTAAACTCACTGATCAGCTTTGCATAAATTATGCCCATCGCCGGAGTATATTAAATATTGAAAGAACAAGCTGAGACTAAATTGGTAAGACATATTCCCTTTTATTAGGGAAAATTGATTTATAAACCTACAAGCTCCTAATGTTCCATATAATCAGGCCATATTTGTTTCACATGAGAGCCAGAGCGAACAGGGGCCTAAAATCTTAAAGGAGAGAGAACTGTGTAATGAGGGGCCAGTGTGGCATACTGGTTGAGTACATACCTGATTATGTGTCTCTGTTCCATTGTCGACTACGTGAGGACCTTGAGAAAGTCAATATCCTTACCTGTAAAATAGGAATAATACCATGTGTTTTTGGTGCCTACCAAAGTGCATGACACAAACTACTCATTAAATGCAACTGCTATTATTTCTATTATTGTTGACTATGTCTCTTGCAGGCTAGTAATGTTTTAGCCCAAGAGAAAAGTTGTCAGACTCTTTAGCTTTTCAGTCTCATTATATCAAGTGCTACAGTCTGAATGTGTCCGCCCAAAATTCATATGTTGAAACCTAATCCCCCATGTGATGGTATTTGGAGGTGGGGCCTTTGGGGGGTGATTAGGTCATGAGGGTAGAGCCTACATAAATGAGATTAGTGCCCATATAAAAGAGACCCCAGGGAGCTCCCTGGCCCCTTCTGCCATGTAAGGATAAATGGATAAGATGGCCATCTGTGAACCAGGAAGCAGGCCCTCGCCAGACACCAAATCTGCTGACACCTTGATCTTGGACTTCCCAGTCTCCAGAATTATGAGGAATAGATTTCTGTTGTTTATAAGCCACCCAGTCTATGGTGTTTTGTTATGGTAGCCCAAATGGACTAAGATACCAAGCCTAAAGGGAACCATTAAATGAGTAGGGCAGTAAGGTCATGGGAAAGGAAGCAGCTATTCACCTGAGGTTCTCTTTGACCTCCCAGCCTCTGACTACATACTACCTACCCTTTCACTCAGTCCACACTGACACCATACTACCTTTCATAAGCAGAAATTAAGCTTTGTGTACCTCCAGGCAGCTAGCATTTCAAATGATCACATGATATGGTTTCACTTGCTGGCCCACCTGTAGGGAAAGTTTGTGCAAGTATGTGCCTTCAGCCAGAGATGAGGAGTGTTTTCTGATTCCCTTCTGTGGCAGCAACTGGTTGAGGAGCCTCAAGGGGAGCACTCTGCTGAAGCCCCAGTCTGGGAGAGCACAGGACAATAGACCTTGATCCCTGTTTCTGATAACTTCCTAACTATCCACCCAACTCTTGCTGTAGGGCAGGGTTGGATAGCTGTCAGGTCATAGGAGATGCTGGGACTCAGCTGGCACCCCCTTGCACACCAGCATTTGCTTCTTGCTCAGAAGGCCTGTGAAGGTTCTTAGCCACCAGCAGGGTTGCCTGGGCATAGAGGAATCTTGAATATCTTGAGTGGGAATTTTTTTGTTTTCTGGGATCAGCACTTTTTTTTATAACAGTAAGTCTTTTATTTTAAATTTATACATTTGACTTTCAAACACGTTTTCAGCAATGTGGTATACATGCAAATACAGTCCTGCTTGTCTGCAGCCACGTTGCTACTGCTTGGATGTGACCTGATCAGATGAACAAGCTCAGTACTGGGGCCAGTGAATTCCCTGCCAAGTCTTAGCCTTCTGTATCACCAGTGGAATAAAATGGCCGATTTGGAAATTGGCTACTGTATACCCCTGTGTATTGGGAGCCCAATGAGAGAGGTACTGTGTGCTTTATTTGACAAGAACAGAAGTGAACTTCAAGGAGAATGTCTTGCAAGTTCAAGCTCTGAGCAGAGGAGAGATTTAAAAGCAAATGATGCTGAGAGCTATAGTTAGAAATACGTTCAGTTCGAGAATAGTTAGAAATATGTTCAGTTCGAGAAGGCAGTCGTCCCCGAGAGTTGTGGTTCTCATGGATAGGTAAGTCCTGGATGGAAGAAGTGGGAGTGTCAGTTGGTGAGAATTTCCTTAGGCATGAGGAATGAGCCCTGGGCCTTGAGTCCCGTATGCCTCTTGCCAAAGGGCGAGTTGCCTGCCCTAAATGACTTTCTGTTCTCCCTTAGGGAGAGGACCTGAGGTTTAAGATCAGTAAATGAGCTTATATCTCAACTCCTATAGAAATCTGAAACTTTTGACCCAGGAATGAGGTTGAAAGCCAATTCTTGTGGAACTGTTAACACCTTGCAAGGAGGTGTTAAAATTCTATTATGGAAATACTCTAGTTAGAGGAGTTTCGTTATAATTCCACAGCACTGGGTGTATGGGACATGGGCACAGTTACAGGAGTTGTTGCAATTGAAACGTTGAGATTGTGTCCTATATTTAGTCAACAAATTTTAAAGTGTAGTTGCTCAAGAAATGGTAAATTGGGCATTTGGAGGAAGAAAAAGTGTTCAAGCCAGCAAAGGAGAGAATTTTGTATTCCGAATAATGAAATTTATCTTTGAGCTTGTAAAATTGTTTAGCATGTACCCATTAAATAGGGGGCATGTTAAAAACTTATCACATTCACTTTTCCAGTTTTTCCATTTTGCTGTTGTACACTACGCTATTTCTTGCCTTGTGTAGAGCCTTGTGAGGAGTAAAAATTAGTTGTTTGCCAGGGAGTCTGAGATGAAGCAATTACAATGGATAGGACTTTAAATTTACACAATGTTATATGTCAATTGTATCTCAATAAAGCTGGGGAAAAAATAAAAACAAAGAAATTTTTAAAAAGTTATTTTAAAAGAAAAGTAGGGATTATGTACTAGAAATAAATAGGTAATTATTGACTTACATTTTGTGTATTTATACCTTTCCTTGGTTAATGAAGAGTTCGAGGTATGTTTACATGTACAGTTCAAATTGGTGATATTCCTGTTTTATCAAAAAGTAATTAGGGGCTACAAGGAGCCACTCGTCTTTTTTCTTGGCTAGACATGGCTGGGCTGATATGGGCCATGATTACCAGTGTTTGGTTGTTACTTACTTGCAAAGGGAAGCCTTCTTGGCCTCGGTGGAGGAATCACCCAGAGCAGTTTGACAGAGGGAAACAAACAGCCCTATATCCAACCCTCTTTGTGTTTTTCCAATTCTCACCCATGAATCAGATGCTTTCATTTACTCTGCAAATTAAAAAGTCACATATGAAACTTCAGTTTGTGTTGACTTGGTCCACATTTATTATTACTTCCCTTTACAACCAGTGGGAGAGGCTGTTTTTTCTAGCATGATTTTGTTTCAAGAGGTTTTCATGGTGTAAACCATCTCTAGTGGTTTTTCTTTGGATGTGAAATGTAAACCATTACCAATGGTAAATTTCCTCCATCTATTAAAAATAACACTTTATGTAACAATTGGCTGTAAGCACAACAATAAAGAGGATGTAAGTATTTATTTAATGTCACACTAAATTAGTTT